TATATACACACACACATATATATGCAATTCAAATCACTTTTACAACTTTTTTTTTCTATACAAAATGTGTATTTTAGTTGATCATTTTACAATCTGCTGTTTGATTTTGTTTTTGCTCAAATTAACATTTTGCTGTTGTTCCAAGTACAGAGTTGCTCCTGAACCATCCTCCCTGACCTCTCACAGCTGAACAATTCACCCTGAAAAGATGAAATTATTAGTCAGCACCATGTGTCTCATTAGATCTGCCCACAGCGAGGGTATAAAATTTAACTGTTGTTCTTATTAATGATAATTAAAGGGCCGCGCAGTCCGCTTCCTTTAAAGGCAAAATGAGAACAGAACATTAAATCCACAGGCGGTGCCGGTAATTGAACAAAAGTTTATGTTCGGAGACAGTAAAAACACAGCCGAGGGGTGGGGGGACAGAAATCATTCTCTGCTCTGTTAAAATAAATTTCCCTGTAAACAACACATCACAAACCTGCTCACAGTGATCCAGTCYGTGATTCCCTTTAGTTTTAGTAGGCTTTCAGGCAATTTTCCATCACATTTACCAGCTTTTTTACTACTTTATTGTTTTTAAACCTAACATTGCCTCATTAGTACGCATAAGAAAATGTTCCCCACTTGATTTCCAATCTCCTGGCACACTCTGCTCAGGGTTTTATAATAATTACTGCTCTGTAAATGTGGCCATTGTCAGAGGTTTTCCACTAAATTCAAGTTGTTTTGCTTGTTGAACAGTTCAGAGCTCTCTGAAGGCTCAAACACTGGATCTTTCATTAAATTTCTGAACAATATATAGGTTTATAATGTAATAGTTAAACCATTYAACACTTTAATGGAGACTTTCTGATAATTGGCTGCAGTCAGGTAACAGCACACGGTGCTGCCCRCTAGTGGACATTACAAGAAATGAACCCTGTTGGCTCAACTTTTCACTGCATGTGGCTGCATTTCTTTTCCCARATACTTGCAACATTTTACTCTTTTATGTAAAATATACAGAGCTGGTTATACATCATGAGAAATGTTGATGTTTGCATTAGTATTTTCGTCCATTTGCTTGAACGCCAACAATAAAACTCACTGCTGCAGGCTGTTTACAACCTTCCTTTCTTTTTATTTTGACTTTTTGATTGTTTCAGATCTGACTTCATGCTGAGCTTCTAGAGACTCCTTTCTCATAACTTTTACTGTAACCTTCCTGTAAATTCCCTTTACATCAACCCAACATGTGGTTCTTCTGCAGGAGGCTGCTTTTATTGCAGTTTTTCTGTAGAAATATCCGTGAGAAGTTACAGGCGATGCTATGTTTGAGTCATGATTGATAACCTTCATGAGGTCATTTTTAAAATTATTTTTAAAGTTTTTATTATAAAAGATCAAGTTGTGTTCACAGGCAATTGTACATGTGGTGYTGCCTTCAAAGTAAAATAAATTGCAGAATTTATGAAAGTGGTCTTTAAAGTCTGAATGTTATATTTTGTAGTTTTATAACTGCATGAACCTATATAGATCATCAACATTTCACTCTTTTTATTTTGTAGTAAAATTAGGCACGTTTGTGCAGGTTTATTTAGCGCAGTCAGTCTGTATATATGAACCTAAAACACAAAAATAATATTTGTGCTGAAAGGCTAAGCTTGACGAATCAAATCAGATTTTGCAACTAATGAGCTGATCTTCTCCCCCTGCTGTAACCCTGTTAACATTTAACCAAACAGAGAGTTAAATCAAGAAACATAAACAGATCCTATGATTTAACCCCTGATTAATAAAAGGGATAACATTATTTTATCTCAGCTGAATAAATATAAAATGTGCTAAATGACTCTTCAAAATAAAATAATTATAAGAGAGGCTTTCTGTTGCCCATTTTATCTGAAACAGTTGGAGAAAATGTGTCACGCGCAGCATTACATTAAATCTTTTTGTAAAAACAATCTTGTTTTTCTGTTTATTTAGTTTGTCTTTAGTTAATCCAGTTGCGAACAGAAGGTGGTGTTGTAGTGTTTGACACAAACTGGAACCTTTTGAAAAATCTGCAAATATTTGCTTAAAAGTAGTGTAATATATAGATTTTTTTTCCTTTTTCAAAAACAGTTTTCACATTATTTGAAATATTATGAAAACATTTTATTTGACATTGATTTTTTTGCAAACTGCTGAAATAAAATTAACAACAAAATCAAAATTTTAACGGTATTTACGGTGCCGTTTGAAAGAGTAATGCGGGTACGCACTCAATGTAAACAAAGCACTTTTATCAACATTGACAAGATCTGAGCGGGAACACGTACCAATTGGTCAAAATTGTCTGACTTCTCGATCCCAAAGCAGCTCCTGCAGTGGCTCCATCGCTGACCTAATTTTGGTGACTTTGACTGTTTTTTGTAGATAAACAAACACACGTGGCAGTATACAAATATACTGTTRACAAATTTTCACTTTAAGGACAAAAAAGCATCAACATGAGAATAAAACTAAATCATTTTTCTAGCTTTATGAATTGTATTTTTACGGTTCTTCGTAAACAAAATATATGGGCACCTTTAAAGTCAGGTGTGTGTGTGTGTGTGTG